GTATGAACTGTAGCTCCATGTAAAGTGAATAAACGTGATGTTTCCCAGCTAATCCGCCACTCGTCTACACATGGCATTCATTTTTTTATATGATATAAAGGAAGTATGGTAAACCAGAAACACATTCTCAGCTCTAATGACGTAACCTTAATGAATGTGAATGGGTGAGTTAAAAAAAAATCACTCCCCATACAGTTGTCATGCATGAAGAAATTAGCTATAGAAACCAAACATTTTTTTGTACCAAGCTGTAAACATGTTTATTTCTGCTGTTAAGTTTTTTAACATGGGGGTCGAGGAGGATATACTGGCATCTGGAGCCAGCCTCAAGTGGCCATTAGAGGAACTACAGTTTCTTGAACTTCCATGTTGGCTTCATTTTTCAGCCTTGATCTCACAAACATGTTGAATACATAAGTTTTCTGGTCCATGTTTACTAGTTTACAGTCTTCTCTTTCGCTGCCTTTGTCGGCACATTGTTTCTTGACATGCTACTGAAAGCCATCACAGTGATATTAAAAAAAACCCAACAACATCAAAGGCATCTGCACAGGCGAGCCTTGTTAGGTTAATGTCAGACAGCAGTGTGTGTTACGAGAAGTCTGGTAGTCATCACTTTAATGTGTCACTTTATGACATTATGAGGCATCTAACAGGGTTCAACTGAGGACAGATGCTACAGTACTGGAAAGGTGAAGACACAAGTTGACAAACCTGCACAGTTATTTATGTTGTAGATGGGTCTTTAAAAATAATGCTAACAAACAGTTTTACCCCAGAGGAAAAGTGGTCACAAGCAGAACCACAAATGATTTAAGGACACTTGATCGTATAGCTGGTAAACACCACATTCCTAAAAGTAACGTTGGTGTTGCTTAACAGCAGTCTGTACATTTATATCCAAGGTGAACACAGAAAGATTAAACACACAGCAGTAGACAGTAACTTCAGACTTTTACCCTTTTTAACCCTTAAAAACATTCAGCAGCAGTGTATACCTCCGGTTTCATCCCTCAAACAGTTCAAATCTTGATGATGGTTTGCTTGTATGACAGTGTCACTCAGTGGTCTGAGGGTGAATGATGACCCTGCGGTGCTGCGATGATAAAGTACTGTTGTTGTGGTTTAAGTTTTCCACCCACTACAGGGTTTTTCCCCCCGGGGATTTTTTTAGCCGAGGTGGTAAGCCACCCAGATCCTGGTACATTGTTCCTTGTGATCAATTTTGTTTGTAGAAGACGTTCTAAACAAGTCACACTTTTTAAAATAAGTGTCATTTGCTGTGTAAAAAACTGCTCTCATTCTCTGGTCTTTTTCCCTTTTGATGTTGTATTTCGTAAAAGAGTGATGTATTTTCTAACTGGTTTCAAGCGAGGTAGCCCACCTACGCTATAAAGCCCTGCACTGAATTTAAAGCTATTAGTCAGTCGCCAACAGTTCACCTCACAAAGCCAACTTAAATCTTAGAGTTAATGCTGAAAATGCCTGCTGAGAATTGATTGAGCTCAGCGGCTGAAACACAGATCAACAAAGTAGATAATTATGTGTAATGATGTCTGGATAATGATGAGACTTAAAGCCTCTTAAAACCAGTGAAACTTGTGACCAACTGTTTACGCACCAGGTGTGGTTGATTTTTAAAAGGAAGGATAATTCCCTCATTTGAAAGGCCTTGTTATCCCTCTCTTTCAAGTGGAAACAGACAACTTATCAACCCTCCCTCTAGCGTTTCACAGTGGTATTGCTGTTGGCACTGTGAAGACAAGCGGATCAATTTCCATTTTTCTCAGAGCATAGCTACTACCAACAACACAGGACACAGCAGGGCTGGCTGATAAAACAATGTCAATAGGTGATTGCGATAAAACTTATGACGATAGCGATCATATACTTTGGGATTTTTCCATGATATGAAAAGATCTGACAGTCTCTCTCCTCTGCCTCTACACTCAGTGTCGCTGCCTGTTTGCAGGAAGGAAGGGCTATGCTCCACTCTCACTACATGGAGAGCAGTAATTTGCTGCTTCCTTTAAAACGTCCAGTCTGCAAGATTTTGGGGGATTTAGTGGCATCTAGCTGTGAGGGCTGCAGATTGCAACCAGCCGAAACTTCTCTAGGTTAGAATTCCTTTAGTGTTTATTGTTCAGGAGGTTTTTACTGGTAGCCGAATTATCTGCAGAGGTCTCCTCCTCTCCAAAAAAATGGACCAGGTGATTTAAACTGCTAAAAACACTGAACAAAGCAGTTTCACATTTAAAAAATCAGCGTTTTTCCAAGTGTCTGTCATGGAGGGGTCGCTAATTATGGTGCGAAAACGCAAAAACACGAATGGCCCTATCAAGAGTCAGTGTTTGGTTTGTCCATTCTGGGCTATTGTAGTAACATGGCAGTGCAACATTTCATATTCCATAGACAAAGACCCGCTCCCTATGTAACGTCTCCTTCTGAGGTAACAAAACAAAGTGATTATTATTTTTAGGTGACTTTTAAACACTAAAGAAAACAGTTATGAATATTGTATTCCATGTCTGCCAATATATCCCCCTAAATCCCACACACTGGACCTTTAATCCACACCCAGTTAGTTTTACATTGCCACGGAGCTTGTTAAGCTTCAGTGCTGAAAGCGAACTCGCATCATCCCCCAAAGTTGAAGAAATTGTTGACAAAACACTAACACCACATCAATAATATAGAAGTCAGCAGCGACAAAGCGTGGCTTAAGACAGCCTGCAAAATATGCCATCAGTTGGTGCCAGCCAAGATGAGAAACACAACAAACCAAGAGAGTTACAGATGTGACTAAGGTTCTATGAATTTTGGATGACTACCACCTGATAGTAACTGTCAAGAACTTACACTGATACTCTTTGGTAACTGGAGATAGTTACCAAATCCAACAGTAAAATTGCTGCACCTGTTTCTCCTCCTCTATTAGTGCAGACTGGCTGGATGGGAGCATGGGTTGCTAACTTTAGCCTACGGAGCACTGCTAGTGGCCCGGTAATGAGGTGGTGTTCTTTGTTATTTGATGACTTGTTTGATCGACTGATAGCGTAAAACTTGAACAAATTGTGAGCATCCTCAAAACCGCAGAAGGATGCCTGTAGCCCATGCAAGAGAAAGCAACACTCATTTCATGTCTGTTTATCAAAACACAAACATGGATGACTCTTAGTGACTTATCAGGGTGTTGAAGGGTTGTCCCTTTTCACTGAGTAAGTTTTAACCACTTTCCCTCGCAGCTCTGTTTCAAGGGGCAAGGTGGCACTCAAAAACAAGGGGCAGGGGTTAAACTATGAAATGGGATTAGGCCTTTGTCGTGTTTACTGTTTGAGAATCAGAAGCAAAAACCAGTGACAGCCCAGTGAATCATGCAGTTATTCAGACATACAGTACAGGCCAAAAGTTTGGACACACCTTCTCATTCAATGCTTTTTCTTTATTTTCATGACTATTTACATTGTAGATTCTCACTGAAGGCATCAAAACTATGAATGAACACATGTGGAGTTATGTACTTAACAAAAAAAGGTGAAATAACTGAAAACATGTTTTATATTCTAGTTTCTTCAAAATAGCCACCCTTTGCTCTGATTACTGCTTTGCACACTCTTGGCATTCTCTCGATGAGCTTCAAGAGGTAGTCACCTGAAATGGTTTCCACTTCACAGGTGTGCCTTATCAGGGTTAATTAGTGGAATTTCTTGCTTTATCAATGGGGTTGGGACCATCAGTTGTGTTGTGCAGAAGTCAGGTTAATACACAGCCGACAGCCCTATTGGACAACTGTTAAAATTCATATTATGGCAAGAACCAATCAGCTAACTAAAGAAAAACGAGTGGCCATCATTACTTTAAGAAATGAAGGTCAGTCAGTCTGGAAAATTGCAAAAACTTTAAATGTGTCCCCAAGTGGAGTCGCAAAAACCATCAAGCGCTACAACGAAACTGGCACACATGAGGACCGACCCAGGAAAGGAAGACCAAGAGTCACCTCTGCTTCTGAGGATAAGTTCATCCGAGTCACCAGCCTCAGAAATCGCAAGTTAACAGCAGCTCAGATCAGAGACCAGATGAATGCCACACAGAGTTCTAGCAGCAGACCCATCTCTAGAACAACTGTTAAGAGGAGACTGCGCCAATCAGGCCTTCATGGTCAAATAGCTGCTAGGAAACCACTGCTAAGGAGAGGCAACAAGCAGAAGAGATTTGTTTGGGCCAAGAAACACAAGGAATGGACATTAGACCAGTGGAAATCTGTGCTTTGGTCTGATGAGTCCAAATTTGAGATCTTTGGTTCCAACCGCCGTGTCTTTGTGAGACGCAGAAAAGGTGAACGGATGGATTCCACATGCCTGGTTCCCACTGTGAAGCATGGAGGAGGAGGTGTGATGGTGTGGGGGTGTTTTGCTGGTGACACTGTTGGGGATTTATTCAAAATTGAAGGCACACTGAACCAGCATGGCTACCACAGCATCCTGCAGCGACATGCCATCCCATCCGGTTTGCGTTTAGTTGGACGATCATTTATTTTTCAACAGGACAATGACCCCAAACACACCTCCAGGCTGTGTAAGGGCTATTTGACCAAGAAGGAGAGTGATGGAGTGCTGCGGCAGATGACCTGGCCTCCACAGTCACCGGACCTGAACCCAATCGAGATGGTTTGGGGTGAGCTGGACCGCAGAGTGAAGGCAAAGGGGCCAACAAGTGCTAAACACCTCTGGGAACTCCTTCAAGACTGTTGGAAAACCATTTCAGGTGACTACCTCTTGAAGCTCATGGAGAGAATGCCAAGAGTGTGCAAAGCAGTAATCAGAGCAAAGGGTGGCTATTTTGAAGAAACTAGAATATAAAACATGTTTTCAGTTATTTCACCTTTTTTTGTTAAGTACATAACTCCACATGTGTTCATTCATCGTTTTGATGCCTTCAGTGAGAATCTACAATGTAAATAGTCATGAAAATAAAGAAAACGCATTGAATGAGAAGGTGTGTCCAAACTTTTGGCCTGTACTGTACATTAGGTTCATGTCTCTTCGTCCTCTTGTCTGAAGGAAGCAGTGGTCAATCATGTACATATTACAGCCCTCATGAAGGATTTCTTGTCCTGAACAAATGTCCATGTAGCTTTGACAAGTCACAAAGTAACAAAGCAAAACTTGTGGGCTGACTTTGTGAGGCTAGACCTTAAATACTAAAAATATCCTGGATGATTAGCGATATCCATCATGGTGAAATGTGCATGTGGTATGTTCTGTATGTTCTAAGTAGTTGGAGTGTGACGTCTGTTATAAACCCGCAGCTTTATGTCACATCTTGACTTGGCACCGTGTTCTGAGTGTAGGTGCTGTCAGAGTGTTGGAGTCGAACCTGCCCGGTTTTCTTGGGGTCCATCTGAAACAGAGGATTCAGGAGGTGGTGTGGGAGGATTCGATGGTGGCTGCATATCACTGCTGAGCCTTCTCACCTGCAGGGGGCTCCACCTGTGTGGCAACTGCCTCCTCATGCTCCTCCTCTTTGGCTTTCGCGGCCGTCTCTTCCTCTCCTCGTTTGCTCCTGGTTGGGCCCGGTCGCTCAGAGTGTCTGAGGACTCGTCGATGTACGCCAGGTTCTCTCCGAAGAAATCCAGCAGCTGGCAGCTGGGTGAGGAGGCAGCGTGGAGGGGAGGTGAGGGAAGGACGATTGAGTGGCGAGGAAGAGGACAGGAAGGGGGAGGACGGTGGAAGCGGGCATGCAAACCAGGAGCAGGTGCAAATCCACAGCTTTTGTCTACAGAGATACATTTCTCTGCTAGAATCAGTTTGTCTTTTTCTTGTGCTGTGTTCATGTCTGCGGCCCTCACTCTTCCCTCCTCCATGCTGCCAACTGTATGGCAGGGCTGGTACTTCTGGAGCGCCATAAAGGATGAGGAGACTGAGGACATATCTGATCTGGAGTCAAAAGGAGACTCGGATCCAGAGGGAGATCCTCCATGCATGGCTGCACCTGCTGAGTTCAGCTCCAAGTTGGAGTGGGCCACAGGGAGGGAGAATGAGCGGCCCAGCAGGTGAGGAAACGACCTGGCGTCCGCCTGCAGACCCACAGCGGGGTCAACCCTCAATGCAGGCCCTGCTCTCGGGACTGTTCCAACTCCAGCAGCACTGACCAGTGGCATGACCTTCACCACCGCCGCCCTCTCAAGAGACGAATGGGTCTCCAGTTGGCTCATGGAGCTGGAGAGGCCGGCCCAACGGTTTGGCAGGTGTCCATTCTCAGATCCTCCTCGAACCAAGTATCCCAGAGTGCCCTGGGCTCCACGACGGATGCGGCGACGCTCACTGCGTTTCCAGCGCCGGCGCTGCAGGAGGAAAGGGTCGTTGAACTCCAGAGGGTTTGGGATGCGGAAGTCCATGGACATGTTCTGGATGTTCTGGGTCCAGTCTGTGGCGTGGGCCCTCAGCTCCTCCATCTGAGATTGGGAGAGACACAAAATCAACTTATAAAGAAGATGAAGTGCAGCTCCTCCTCTCTACTGTATAGAATTTACACCGAATCAGTTGAATCTGACATTAAACAGACTTCATCGAGCCAGCTCCCCGGTACAAAGTCCATGAAATGTCTGACTATCTAAGGGTAAAAAAGAAGGGTCAAGTGTAAGTAGAGAGACGTCAAGATTCGGGAACTTCTGTTGGTATGGGCCAAGGCAAAATCGTGAAACAAATTCAGGGAACAGCAAGAGACTCTGTTGTTTATGACAAAATTAAGAACTGGGTACATGACTGCGGTGTAATCTGCATCAGATCCTGCCTCCTGCACATCTACCCAGGTGCCACCCTTTGCCTAAACTGAACAAAGTATTCCCAGCAGGTGAGAGCTCTTCAGACACAGTCTCCTGGTGTGTGCCACATTTATGAAAGAGAAACTCTGCACCTGATTCTCTGTTAGTTAGTAAGAGAAAATGGCTATATCTTTTACCTCAGCACGGGTCCTCTTAGACAGCACCCTCAGCCAGTTGCCTATCATGGTGAGGATTGAGGCAAAGTAGGCGAGACCAAACACTATCCACAACCACACCAGAGGCTTGAAGAACCAGTTGCTGCCATCACGACCGCCTGGACACAGAGAAAATTGACTTTTAATGTGATGTACTGTTCCACTGATCCACACTGAGATGCAGTATTCCGCGATTTTTCACGACATACTCTACTATGACGTTTATTTGTGATTTTTCACAACATACTCTATGATGTTTTCTGTGATTTTTCACAACATACTATACTATGAAGTAAATAAATAATCACTTGTTGAGACAATTTGCAATTTTACTTTTTGTGCCTTTTGTAGAGGCAGCAGCTACTTTATTTTAGACTTCCACAGTGTTCCTTTCAAAGCTTTTCACATCACTGATTAATCCACTGATGGTTTCAGCTGTGACTGTGTATATGTTCAATGCTGCACCAAAAGTTCAAATGTGCTGAATGTTGACTTTAGACTGCTGCCACTGAAGATCACAGATCGCATGTATCTATTCAATTACAAATACAGAACAACAAAAAAGGTTTGTTACAAGAAGAGTTAAAAGTCACATCTCCTCAGTGCAGCCCATGGTGGGTCATAACAATTTGCTAAAAACAGTGTTTATAATCCAAACTTTACTTGAAGCCTCTCATCAAAAGGTGCATGTCATGTAGCAGAGTCATTGTTGAGTAATTTTCAGTTATCATACTGTTTCCTTGAATGATTTTTAAACACCTGATCCACCAGAAGAAAGATACAAGACTGAAAAATAAACAGAAATTTGTTCTCAACCACCCTGTTGTCTACACTGATCAAATAAAACATGTTTGTGTGTGTGTGTGTGTGTGTGTGTGTGTGCGCGCGCGCATGTCAATACCTGGTACATAGTCTCCAAAGCCAACAGTGGTCAGAGTGATGACCACAAAGTAGAGCGACTCCAGAAAGGACCAGTCCTCCACTTTCTGAAACACGACTGTCGGCACAGCAAGGAAGATCAGACAACCAATCAGGATGGAGAGAACCGCTGAGATCACACGCACAGTGGTCGGCCTGACCTTACGCTTCTGAGAGACAGACAGATAAAAGCAAACACAGAGACAGAATGAATGATAATAAATACTAATGACAATAATGATGGATTTAATGAAACATGTTTGCTCTTTTTCAGATATGATTTTGACTCAGTTAATGCTGAATTATTTCCTCTGTAACATATACATCCTTATCTAATATAAGTATGAGGGACAAGTGTTGGTATTTTTTTGTCTGTTATTAATAAATGAATAAATATACAAATAAAATAGATAGATGACACACTATACTACGACTTATTTTCATGATTTTTGACAACATACTATACTATGACTTTTTTTTATCATGATTTTGGACGACATACTATACTATGACTTTTTCATGGTTTTTGACAACATATTATTCTATGACTTTTTCATGGTTTTGACAACATACTATAATATGATGTTTTTTCATGGTTTTTGATGACATACTATACTATGACTTTTTTTCATGGTTTTTGACAACATACTATACTATGACTTTTTTTCATGATTTTGGACGACATACTATACTATGACTTTTTTCATGATTTTGGACGACATGCTATACTATGACTTTTTTTCATGGTTTTTCACAACATATTATTCTATGACTTTTTTTCATGATTTTGGACGACATAATATACTATGACTTTTTTCATGGTTTTTGACAACATACTTTACTATGATGTTTTTTCATGACTTTGGACGACATACTATACTATGACGTTTTTTCATGATTTTTGAGGACATGCTATACTATGACTTTTTTTCATGATTTTTGATGACATGCTATACTATGACGTTTTTTCATGATTTTTGAGGACATGCTATACTATGACCTTTTTTCATGATTTTTGACGTAAATAAATAATCACTTGTTGAGACAGTTTGCAATTTTACTTATTGTGCCTCTTGTAGAGGCAGCAGCTACTTTCAGCGTCTTTATTTCGCACTTCCACAGTGTTCCTTCCTTCAGAACAAGCTGAAATATTTTTTATTATAACTACAGTAATATACACTGAGATCAATGACTGTATATAAAGCTGGATGGAATAACAGCTCCCCCAAAACCACACTATATAGGTCATAAACCCTGCCCCTCTCCATGTTAACAGGTGGGCAAAACTAAGAACTCAATGGACACGTCAAAGTAATTTTCCCAAAGATAGTTTTCTTTCATTTCAGGTAGTTCTTATCACGCTGATGTTTGTTCAAGTGTTAATTTTCTGATAAGTTTGGTGATAACTAGTTATCTAATGCAATAAAAAAGGGGTGTGGAGTGCCTGTATCCAGGATATTTTGGCTTATGGGAGGAAGTAGAGATGTGTCATTCACCATACATATACAGTCCATGGCTTAAACTAATAATAATTGTTTACATCCCGGTCGGAGGTTCTTGGTTTCTTAACCAGAAAATCAACCTTGATATTTCCTGCTAAGACAGCAGTAAAAAAAAAAAAGAGGTCTGGGCCTTGTAGGTTTGAATCTTAGATTCAGACAGCTGAGGTTTGGTTTCTATGCAGGACAGACCATTCTCACCAGGAAGAGGGTCTCAATCTTGGCTACAGCTCTCCTCAGCACCGTGCCCATGTGGTCACCCACTCCAGCCAGCAGTATGCCAAACATGGGGATTCCAACCAGGGCGTAGCACACACAGAACAACTGGCCGTACCATGTCCGAGGAGACAGGTTCCCAAAACCTGTTAAAAAATAAAAGAATAGAGGGACCCTCAGCTATTTACAAATATCATCAATAACTTCCATTTACAACAGACCGGAGACTGAATTCTGAGATGTCTTTCGGACTAATATGAGAGTAGAGCTCATGACACATTAATTTTAGATGCCTAGTGTTAAAGAGGAGTGGAGGAATGTCAAATAAGAAAAGTCCAGCACATCTGTTATGTTGACACTATAAATCTTTGAGTGGCATTCATGAATGGATAAAAAATGATGTCACTACATATATTTTTTGTTTAGATCGACCCAACTTTAAAAAATTAAATCTACCACTTAGTTCTTTAGCTCATGGAGACTAATCTTCAACTACGGAGATATTTTTGAGTCAATCTCCGAAACTCAACAGTCAAATAACTTCAGTTTTGATTGCCAAGATGATGAAAGGATTACGTATTTTCAGAATTAAACTCAGATCATTTTAACATCACAGGAGCTCTCAGTGATATGTTTGTTCTCCTGTTAAACATTTCCACATCGTATCAGGTATATATACTCAATTAAAAGAGCATTTCAGAGTTGTCGGATCTTCAAAGTGCAGCCTGAAGGTGAGTCTCCACCTACCTATGGTGGTGATGATGGTACCACAGAAGAAGATGGCGGAGGCCAGGTCCCAGCGCGTGGTAAAGTTGGCATTATGGTTGTTCACATCCAGGCCTGCCTCCACCGCAGACACCACTCCCTGCAGGGGCGGGATGTAATTTATTTAACTGTACTGTTTTCTTCCAACACAAGTCTGTACACAAATCTCAGGTATCAGAAAGGCTGGGATTTACAGGAACTTAAAGTTATGTATCGGTTGGATTGTTTTACATGGTTTATGCCAGTAGTGAAAAAAGTATTCAAAACCGTTATCTATGTACGTACAATTATTTTGAGATACTCCAGTAATTATACAAATTTGTGTTGCATGACTTTTCCACTTTTCTTCTTTCCTCTACCAGTAATCATCTTGTGACCCTTTAAAGGGGGTCAGAAACCACCACACTAAACTGAACAACTGTATATGAAGAAATCAATATTACATCTCTACCTGCTACAACAGTAAAATACTTCTTTTGCACTGTTTTTTCAGTTTTAAAGGAATACTACACCTGCAAAATCACCACTTGTGTATCACTTACTCAACGAGTTACCTTGATTTCATGGCTCACAGCATGCCTCCATGGTTAACGGAGAATCCAAAAGAGGTGAACATTTCTCATGAATTCAAGTAAAGGGGGGACCACAAAACTATATCAAGACATCTGTTACAAACTCTAACACAACTCATGCAGTATAATCCAAGTGTCATTTATCCAGTCGTATGCTCAGTACTCCCCAAACACATTTATTTTCACTAAAAACGTTACAATATTAAACACTTCCACCTACGGGCAGCATGCCATGAGCTTACCTGAGCATGTGCGTGCATATGAGCTCCACTCCAGTAGAGGTCAAATGCATGCACGTGCCCAGACACACTAGTCAGCCGTGTACGAGTCTATGTGTACTTATGTTTAATCATCATTAGGTTGCAGTGAAAATGCTTGTATTTAGGAAGTACTGAGCATACGACTGGATAAATGAGACCTGGATTATACTGCAGGAGCTGAGAGAGAATTTGTAGACAAATGTTTTAATATAGTTCCCCATCTACCTCAATTAATGAGGAATCTTCTCCTTTTTTGGAGAAAGTTTTCTCCATGAATTCAACATCACCACTGGGTGGTTCCCAAGCTGGGGGTCAGGCCCCTTTAAAGAGTAACAGGATGATTAATGGGAGAGGAAAGATGAAGGAAGGTTGTTACAGACATCTTATGTAAAGGTCAAATGCCACAAACTGATGCTTTAATCCTTGATAATATGCTGAATTTTGCCTTCAAGTTATCTTTTTTTTATGAAACCTTAATATGAAAAGTTACTGGTAACTGTCAAATAAATGTAGTGAAGTAAAATATACAGTGTGTGCAGTAAAGTGGAAGAATAAAGTAGAGAAAATGTAGTAGTACTTCAAAGGTCTAAGCATGATATTGTAACTCAGTGTAACCTCCGTTAGCTGCGAGTTCTGTCCACTGGCTGCTTAGAGCTCACGTTAACTATCCCTCCTCCTGCAGATATCAATGCGGATTTGTTGTTCAGTATGTAGCATTATCAGAGAATAAATAGGGTGCATCCCCTGAAGTGACAGTCCTGAAGGCGTCCAGAGGAACATCTCTGCTTGTCCCAAACACGTTTTCTATTGTTAGTTTCAAGTCCTGATTTTTAGCCTGCACAAAATTGATGTGACACGGAAAAACATCGGCCACTGACATCAGTGAGTGTCATCTTATTTGCTGATAGGCTGATGGCAGCCAACAAGGCAAATACTGACACCAATGTGTGGTCGATAAATCGGTGCATTCCTAGGTGCTTTATAAATAAACTGTCAAGTTAAAACTAAAAGAGCAAAAAACAAGAGCAAGAGAAAATACTGAACTTGTGTGTTTGATGTTGTGGCTACCTTTAACTAGTCATTGTGGGAGGGATTACGTCATGAGACTGCTTAGTGTGTTCAGTGATACCTTCAAAAGCTTCTGGAACTCCAGCTCGGTGACGCAGGTGTTGTTATCGAGGAAGGTGTTCCTGGTAGTGATCAGTTTATCGTACGCCGAACTCTCCTCCGGGAGCTCCAGGGTGCTGAAAACAAGCGCTCCCATCACCAGGTACAGCACGACCCCCGCCAGCAGGGCCACAAGGGTGGTACACCGCATTTTCTCTCCGTCGACCCCCCCTGCCCCTCCAGGGTTAGGGGGTCAGAGCTCAGAGGCCAGGATCTCAGTCAGGATACACTGTGGCACAGCTGGCCATAAACAGGAAGTTCCTTTAAAGAGGTACTGTATGTGAGCACAAAGTGTTCTTGGAAGGCTGACAGACATTAACAACATTTATTTATACATCTGTGCGTCAAACCGAAGAGACGGTCACTGACAGGAAAGGTCCTGTGTTAAGAGCTGACAAGGTATAAAATAAATAAACTTCAACACATCTTAGAGTAGGTGGGTTAGCAGTCATGTGACGCCACTGACACTGGTGTTAAGGAGCACTCCAGCAATTTAGTTTTGAACTTCTCCATTACAAACTATGAGCTCACGAGAGACAGATTTAAGCAGACGGTTTAAACTGAGGCAGCAGAGGCAGAGGTACCCAGCCTTTCATCCACTGGATGGTTCAACCTCCAAATACACTGGATCCTACATTTCCCATTATGTTGCGTTCATATCAACATCCAAGTCCTTATTATGACTTGGTAACTTTTTTCTGAAAGCTCTGATATATCCGATTTGGAACTCCTCTGACTTATCTTTGCACTACTGTAAGATTGTCAGAATCACAATGGACGATTTTAAGAATCCAATGCTTCTCAAAGTCAAGAAAGGATCCCTAAATGGCTGCATTTCAAGGACACTACGTCATCGAATCCCACTGAAGGACTGTTCCAATGTCTAGGACCCTTTATATTCTACCAAGGACCAAGTCCATTGTTCAGAGTATTTTCAAGGATGCCTGTCCTTACCATCTGCTCTCTTAGAGCAACCACAATCCTGTACACATGATGCGTTGATCCCGTCTCCTGATTAGCAACAAGGAAAATAAGCTTTCAGTTATTTCACCTCAGCTTCTTCTTCCTTGCCAAAAACTGGTACCTCCATCACCCACAATGCAACGCTAACACCAACAGTTCAGTCAGAGATTCAGTTCGGTAATGCTGGTAACAGCTAATGTAGTCTCAAACAGAGAGGTCTCACTTCTTCCTGACTCCTCAGATTTTACATCTTCAAACTTGCAGTCTTTAGACCAAACTGACGCTGACTCAGAGAGACTTACGAGTGTTAAAATCACACACATTCATGCATGTGATGACAGTGCAAAGTAGTTGAGTCCTCACAAGACCACCATACAACCACCCTGACATCCCAAGTCACGTGAGTGAGTATAAGACCTTCACTTCCTGGTAAATATCTACACTGTTTAAAACTCACCACTCCCCCAGTTTCTAACACGCCCAATCGGAGATAACCCTTACGACATCATCATGTTTAGTGTTATGGTTATAGTTATTTCAGACTTTTTCAGAGGCGCTGGTTTCAAAGGTTGAGTAGTCCTCCTCATGACAGGTAAACTGATCGTGATGTGGAATACCCCTTTAAGTCACCAGGTACAAAAATCCAATGGCGAAATTCTTAGACTTGTGAAATCTCTCACTCCTAAAATAAGTCCAATGTGGTCACACCCAAATGCAGCAACATTTAAATATTGAAGGGAGCTATTCTTCATGCTTTCTGTGATCTATTTTCAGGTGGTTTTTATGACAGATAGTGAAAAAAAGTACCTGAAGTCACTGACGTCAGGAACTCATCCCATGTTAAAGCTCCACAAATCTTTGTTTCTTCTTTCCTCTTTATCTCTGCTCTGCTTTTTCTCTGGTTCTTGTCTGTCTTCAGTGTTTGGGAGCAAAGGATTGTGGGTCCATCTCCGTCTCCTTCAAGCCATTTGAACATTTAAACAGGACAAAATACAGAAACAAACAGGCAAACACACATATGAAAATGTAAATGCAGGTTGGAGTATAGAGGAACACAGCAGCTTTAGGTTGGTACATGTCGCTGTTCCTCCCTCTGTTTCAGCACAGCATGAGTGGCATTAAATAAGGGTTCACATTGTAGAGGCTTTGTCATAATAACCATGGAGGGACTGACACACACCAGGCTGCCCTGCCAGTGGTTTAACAAACGATTACACTCTGCCAAATCTCCAAACCTACATCTAAAACGCTAATCAAAAACATGTTTATCGCTTATCTACATTTGGCTTCTAATGTTTTCTTTGAACTGTGTTTACCTTTGAGACACACACTCAGACGACTGGGATTTAGGAGCTTCTTGCTCAGGGTCAGCTGGCCCCGGTTGTCTCCACATGGACCATGACAGTGTTCTGACATTTCCCAGAGTCTGGCTGACTGTTAGCATTCTGCGCTAATGGACTGTTGGCTTCAGTTTGTGTGGACAGTCTCGCTCTCTGCCCCTGGCTTCAACACTGACAGATATTATTAGTTATCACTGTCTAAACCTGCGCTGGCATATTTTGATATTTTGCTAAGATATTGAGTGAGGGGGGCTTAGCGAGAGCCGGACTGTGGGTGACTGGCGATGATCTAATCTTAAGTTAAACAGTGGGGGCAGGTGGGGGAATAAATCATGGGGTGGGCTGTTTGAAAAGAAGCACAAGGCTGGGAGAAGATGTATTCTCTCTATTCTTAGGTTTACATTTAAGGCAGGTGTATCAGGCAAATCTGACCAAACTGTAAAGAACGCTGCAAACCTTTCTCTCAACATGATTAGTCACTGGTTTAAAAGTCACGTTAGGCACTCGAAAATGTGCTTTGCTTGCTGCTTCTTCACTGGCATGTCTGAGCTTTACTTTGCAGAGTTTGACAGCAGAAAGCTGTTTTTCCATTCATCTGCTGAAGGAGGAAAGTTGTTCTGTGCTTTAAATCTGTGGTTAACGCGTGTACACACAAGCTGTATTTGTGACATCACAACTAGTTTGGAGCCAATCATGGACCAGTATGCAACTTGTCATGTGATGTGGAAACTTGAACCACATAGTCAATCAAAGTCTATCTTGTGTCTAATGATTGAAGTTCCCCTCCAGACATGTTTTACAGTACATAAAAAATACTCTGTTATCATTTATGTTTCATTTAACATGTTTTTTTCTTTTTTTAAAAGTAAGTCCAGCGCTGCTCGCAGGTGACGGCTGACAAAGCAGTGTGCATCAAAATGGCTACCGTTAGCATTAGAGGAAACATCGGCGATTCAGCCATGTTTTAGCCTCAGTCAGACTCAAATGAGGAGTCTGTTGGGCAACAAAATCGGCAACTAGCAGACGTAGTAGAATAGTGAGAACAGTTGCCATCTGTTATTTGTTTGTTAGCTTGTTAGCTTGCAGGCTAACTGGCAGCAGCTGAAACAGCATTAATAGTTGTGATACATACAATAATGCACACTGCACACTCTACCATGTTTGTTGTTTAAATGTTCACTGTGCTAATGCTAACTCTGCTCTCTGTACTGACAAGTCTGCTCTGCGCTGGAGGTTTCAGGTTTCTTGCCTGTGTTGTGTCAAAATCTGTTCCCCTGTGAATACATGTTTACAGCCATTGGCTTTCTTATAAGCGACGTACCTTATCTATGTTGCCCAGTGTACGTTTGAATCTCAGATTTTAGGGGAGTGCACAGAGATCACGTCCTTCAGTAGGGGAATGTGAAAACACCTCTTTAGTGAAAATTAACTATAGACAGATAGAAGACGAGGTCAGATATTTTAGAAGATATAATTATAAGAAAAACACATTTTTGAGGGGAGGGGGACTTTAAACTTTTCAAATGAATATATTTACATATTCATTCATATTTTGGTCTTTATAATGAGGAAAAAGTAGAAGAATTTTTAACCAGATAACAAAATTTGTTTGTGGGAACAACATAAAAACCAAACAGTATTTAAAGTAGAGTATTGCATATGTAAAAACATGTCTGGGATCTTTAGCATCGTTTTATCACCTTCTAAAAAATGACTTTATGTGATAAGAACTCCTTATGAACATGATTTTGAACTGTTGCAGGAAGTCTGCTTCTGAGAGGGACACATGACTTCTGTTTGGGATCTTAAAGATCTGAGCTATAAACCATGGTTAAACATGATAAATGTTCCTCTGCTCTACAGCAGGAGTTTCACGATGTTCTGGGACTGACGATAACTATGGTATTTCAAAATTAACTACTGCTATGCACGTAATAGTATTACGTTAATAAACCAGGGTCTCGTAAATCATGTCCATGTTTTGACTTTGTCGATTTGTCTCCCTCCCCAGAGGCAATCTGGTTGTCTTTTCACACACCATCAAATGTAATTGCTCTTCCTGTATGCTTTTGTACAATTACAGACTGTCTCTCCACGTCTCTACACTCCTGTTTTGAGTGTAATTAATTTCTACATTTCTATTTCTATATCTATATTTCTGAGTTTGATTGATTCTTAGATTGTTTTTGGCAAACAACAGGGATATACAGTGTTTTTGTATAGCGAAGACGATATAAAATATTCCCTTATTTGGTTTAAGAATAATGTTTTAAGGGCATTTCTGTACTTTTCCAACTTTATTAAATGTGTAAGCTCAGTTTGAGACAAAAGAAAGGGTTATTGCATCAATGCTTTTCTGTAGATTTGGTTTATTTGACGTCAGAGAAGAGAAAAGAAAGTTTTTCTGCCATTTCTATCATTACATTTACATACACAGCAACTAGGAAGTAAAGCCAAGTGAAGTAAAACTTACTACTGGGTTCTAGTGACTGTATTATTTCTACTGTAAACCAGTTCACAAACAGAGGCCTGTTTGTGAACGTGACTGTCTGCCTCAGCGGGAGATACAAAGATTTTGTCCCACGCCTTTATCTGCGTAGACAAACCTCTAGAGATAAGTATCACTGGCTGCAGATGAGGATGTAGCATCTACTAAAGAATTTACGCTGCTGGGGAAATAATAAAGCTTCCATAGATGATAAGATATGTGATAGATTATCCCACAGAGTATTTGCCTCTTCTTCAGTGAGCCGACACTCACGTCAGAGGGAGATCACAGGTTACAACGCCTGGTTTGCTGGTTTCAGGCTCTGGGAACGAATAATCTGGGTGATCTGGGAAATAATAATAGGACTGTTTGGGTTATACAAGTTGCATTGAAAAGATAAACCAGCCTACATTTCCCTCTGGGGCTATAAAACCGAAAAAGAATATCCCAATTAAACGTTATCAAATGTGGTACCAGTGCTCCCAGAAGCATGGCTGCCTAAATTTTAAAATACAGATTTAAGCTAAGCTACTTTCTAAATTTTGCACTCAAATTACTGTGTTGTCTGTAGTGTCAGGGTTGAGAGAATTCATATTGGCAGGAATGTCAGAGCAGGGGATTGATCGTCTCTTTTTAAATCAGTGTGACAGTCTGCTACTATACTCGGTAACATACAATTAAAAAGAAAGAAAAAAGAATTTTGGAGAGGGCTACGCATGCAAACTGGATCTAAGACCAAGCATCAGTCATGATACAAAAAACAAAAAAACATTTCTGCTTATATAGTGATGATGAAAAACAAAAACACTGATAATACAACTCTCAGAACGCCCCGGGAAGAAATAACTTTTGCATGCCCTACCTTCAGTTTGGAGAAATGTTGCTATCCCAGTTCGTCTCATGCAGCATGTGTCGTTCTCTCACCATCAGGGACTCTGCAAGGAGCTCTGTGCGAGTGTGTGTGTGTTGTGAAAGTGCATGTGTGTTTTCTCCTTGGAAGGTGTTTCCCCATTCTCGTGACCCTACATCACTCGGACAGAGGAAACAGATCGTAGGAGGAGGAGGAGGAGGAGGAGAAGAAAGGGACAAGCCATGTGAAGTCCATTGCAGCGTTGCGAGTGTGATTAAGTGCCGTCACTGCAGAGGAAGAGCAGAGGGCCTTGGAGTTTCCTGAGCTGGACGTGGGGGGGCTTGGCTCTCTAAATCCTCGCCTTTCCAACCTCTGTCTTTTTGGGAAGTAAAACGAGACACTTGTTTCTTTAAAGTTAGAGTTATGGTCCACACCATTTTTTTCCCACTTGAGCAGGATTTGAATCATGAAATAAAACAGACTCTTAAGTTGAGAAGCCCGACTCTTCCGTCGATTCTTTGCTCCTTTAAAGCTTTCAGCACCTTTTCAACAATGTGTTCACAACCAAGAGGAAAAGGGAGAGGACTTTGGTAATTACGGAAATACTTATGTGATTTAACCAAGATATTCCACTTAAACACTTTGAGGCTGTCCTCATTGGACCATAGCACTCATTTAAATGTCCGCCAGCAATAAAAAAAAAAAAAAACTCCTCGACCTCAGCTGACAGCGGACCAAACAGGCCAAATGTCAAGACATGAAAAACAGAGTACACTGACCGACTCTTCAGACTCAAAGGCGCTCAGAGATAAATGAATCCAAGAAAGAGACAACGGTTAAATTAAGAGCAAGCTTTTTATTCTAGCCGCAATCACAACACAGATACATTCACATCAAAGTGTCCAAAACAAGGCAATGAATACACAGTGAGTGCGACAATCCCGCCTCACTGCCAAAAGACTACAGATACCAGAGATATGAAGGCAGCTCAAAGTGTGTATGTATGTGTGTGTGTGTGTGTGAGGGTATCAACATGGCAAATGAATGGCGATGACATCGAGTCAGTAACAGTCCGCACTGTTCTGCCTGAGTCAACAAACCAAGGCTGGGAGAGAATGACTCCACCTCTAAATAAAATATTAATATAACAAAAATCAAAAAACATTCCACACTTTTAACACAAATACATCAGTAACCTTTCGCTGAATAATCTCAAAGGTCAATGAAAGACAGCTTTGCAAGGTTTTAAAACAGAGCTTCACATTTCATCAAGTCTGTCTTTAAACAATACTCACATACCAATGTCTGTGTTGAAAGAAATAATGGTAACTTTAATTGCTGCCCCTCTCCATACTGTCCACAAAGAGAGCATTTCTTTCTTTCTTAACCTATCTTCCAACTTTTATTTAACCTCCTCTGTCGGAGTATTAAAGGGGAGTATCAATTGTTTGGACGTGATTTTCAACATGGAGGTGGCTAAACTGGCAGCTAGCAGCTAACAATGCTAATCAGGGGGAAATGGAGAGTGGGTGCTACACTTCAGCGATAGCGCAGTCCTGATATCAGTGATAACCGCAGTATTAGTAGTGCAGTGCAAAGCGTTGGCAACAAGCTAGCCAGTTGGATACATACATGCACTAAGGGCCCTGATACACCAAGCCAACGGTCAGCTGTTGGTCAATATAGAGCCATCAGTGAGCATCTGTCACCCTAGTTTCTGTGTTGTGTCCCACACGGTTGGCACTAGTTGGCACTTGTCGCATGTTTTTTGGGCGATTCAGACATGTCTCCTAACCTTATGTGTTTTTGTTCACTGGCACACAGTAAATATCCTTTATTCATTCAATAATATCAGGTTGTGTTGTTCATGTGCTAACTGGCTAACTAGTATTTTGAATCCATACTGACAGTTGTCCAGTTTCTCTTTTTGAGCGACAAATACAGACTACCGCTGTTTGCTGCTATGGAGTTATTTCCTCTGACGCAGGCGCAGATCGTAGTTGGTTAGTGTTTATGTGCAACTTTTTGGCCAAGACACAGTGACGTGAGATGATGCCACTAGTTCATTGATGTCTCTTGGTGTGTCTGGGCCCTAACACGTGCACACAGCCGGACTGGCTTACAACAAGCCACAGAAAAGCTCAGATTACAACACACACAGAGGTAGCATAATTTCATTCTCTGCTCAGGACCATTGCTCCACTAAATCTTCACATAGCAATTAGTGATTTGCTGCTATAGAAATGCTTTGAATGTCACATACAGAAACTTTTAACTGCTCCACAAATGAGGAATGGTTTGCAGACAGCTATGAGACAGAAGCCAATGGTACAAATACGCCTATTAGTTAACTGTGTCAACTTAAAAGTCCCGTTAGCATCCAAACTAAACTAGAGAAAAGGGAAGAAAAACTTAGAGAGCCATTGAGACTGACTGGCTCCAACCTCCAACTAGCCCAAGTATAGTCACTATATCAGCATGCTTTGAGACCACATATTTCACTGAGACACCAAAATTAATTTAACTGCACCACTTTCTGGTGTGATCAGGCCTAAACTCAAGTTTCATGTTAGCCTTGTCTTAACCTCAGTGTATCTTCACACAGAATGAGGACTGTGGATTTCTTTGTGGCAAATATGTGCAGGGGTAGGGATGGGAAGATATAGTGTCATAGTAGGGATAATTGTGAATATTGTGTCCAGCAGCACCCAAAGAGGCTGCAGGGCAACCAACAATAAAAGAGGCCGAAAATTCTGCCTGCGAAAAAAATGATGCCATTTTAAATAGCAGATAAGCCTGTTTTAAGACTGCTTGTCCTTCGCTAAAAAGGATGTTAACTACAACAAGATGTGTGTCCTCTTTGTGATGCAATAAAAATATGTTTCTTAACGAAATGCAAAGTGAAACCAGTATGTTTTGATATCATTTTAAGAGTTCTAAGCACATGATATTTTCATAATGTCCCATGGCCAGATGGTAGAAAGAATGACCATTAACTCTTTCGATCTAGATGTGAACATGTGAGTACAGTTTTAAGATAGACTTGAAAAACTGTGGACTTTTCCTTTGTCTCTGGTCAAACCTTGTACACAAGCAAAGTGGTGAGATCCACTTGTTATACAGCATAATACAAACTGTACATCAACTCCAAACGTATCTACAGAATCTACAGTGTATATACACGTGGGCTACTGTCGTCTATGGCACAGTAACAAATGTACAAAAAAAAAAAAAAAAAAAAATCTATCAAAGCCATTCACATCACTTAAATAAATTATATCTGATCAAATATAATAAATCAAATCAATTCATCTGTATACTCAGCTAATAAAATGAAGCTTCAAATGATTAGTTTTTGGTAAATTCAACCACTGAGTGCTCGTTAGTGTAAGATAGAGAAGCAAAGCAGCAGAAGGAGGAGAGAGGGAGTGCAGTTTGGATCACCATACATGGAGCGGAAACCAACTGCAGGTTAGACTGAGTCATAGACATGTGCTCGCTCCTTTCTCTCTCTCTCCAACACACACACACACACACACACACACACACACACAAACAGTAACGTCAAGATGAGGACATACATGTCCATATTCACAGCTAACGTCTCACACACATTCTCACTATGCTTTCACACAGTTGTAAACACCAGCCTTCTACTGAAACACATTCAAGTGTACGTAAATAAGCCACCTCAGGGATTAAAAAGAAAATATATATATATCACATTTCATAACAGGCCGTTCTCGGCTTCGCCCTTTTGGAAAACAAGTCAAACTTATCTTGATGAGCACTTGTTTAGAAAAGCATCGACTAGGCACTGACTCATTCGAAGTAGGTCAAAGCTGGACCCCATAACTTAATGCTGCTGAGACACTAAAAACTAAACAGTCCCTTTGGAAAAGTGGTTGTAAACTTTAAATAAACACCAACAAACATCACTAAATCACTACCTCTGCACCTAAATATACAGGTGGGTGTAAAGTGACAGTATTGTGATGGAGAGCGACGTCTCCACACAGCAATTAGAGGATAAACTAGTGACCATTAAGACATTTTAGATCCACAGTGGAAGTGTTTATTTTGCCAGTGCAGGCACAGTTACCTGCACACACATACAGAAGTCCTTGTGTGATAGAAGCACTTTCTAAACTGGTCCTGTGCTGGTTTGAAGGTCAGTTTGCTGGTGACTGGAGTGTCCCTGTATGGTTGCTGTTGTCCATCACTGAGGTTCATCGTCAAACCACAGTGATCAGTTCCTTCGACCACATCTGAAGACAACCAGTAAACAAAAACATGCAAACATGAGACTATATTTCAACCAAATAAAAAAGAAAACAATAATAATTTAAGACAACATTTTCACTTGTTTTCAGGACTTTTATCAAGACTGTGTGACTTCATTTTTAACCATAAAGTCTGCTGATATTCTTAATGTATGATTAATCGATTACACATAAAGAGACAATCAGTCTAGTATTAACTGTACAAAAATAGAAGATAAAATGAACTGACACAACAAGCTATGAAACTATCTGTGTGGACAGAGGTTACTGATCTGCAATATACCTGCTGTTTAGGTTCAGATATAAGAAGTTTAAGGATAAAGCATTTCTTTCTATTTATTTGTATGCACTTACACAAAATATTTCTATCTATCAATCTTCATAACACCCTATAGATAAAGCAGAGGTGGGAAGCAGAGATGAACACGATCATACAGGACACTTGGAAGGAGGTATGTACTGAGACACATCTGGTTACAAATTCCAACACATGGAGGGAATTCAATTGGTAAATAATAATTAGATTTTTCAGAACACAATAATATCTATAATGGGCCCAACACATCCCAGCTCATGTTGGAGAAACTGTGGAACATGCACTGCCAATCACACCCATATATTTTGGCAATGTCCTAAGTTAGGTACATACTGGAGAGAGGCATTTGATGCCCTTAAAGAGGTCTTTGAACAAGATATTTGACAAGACCCTACAGTGGTACGTCTGGGTGTTATCCCTGAAAGTCTGACTGTGAGGGATGAGAATTACCCCTTATATTATTTACAGCAGCCTCAACGTGCATAAGCATCAGATGGCTAAAAGCAGACCCTCCCATATACAATACATGGATCCAGAAGGTCTGGGACCTCTATCAGATGGAACAAATGACATACTCATTAAGATTTCAAAAATCCGCCTTACTAAATGATGGAGTCCCGTC